TTTTTTTTTAATTATGACAATATTTTAGTTTTGAATCATAAAATATTTGGTTATGTCTCATATAATGTTTGGTTATGACATTCTTTTTTAGTTATCACTCAAAAAGTATGAAATTATATATTTTTTTTTAATTATAAGATGCATATGATACATACTTTTTGAGAGGCGTCTTTTCCAAAAATATTAAACAATTTGAGTTTGGCTTGATTGAAATTCATTTGAGATTAGCTCAAAGAGAATAAAAAAACGCAAAAGAACACGTATTTATAAAATTGTTAAGTTTCAAATCAAATTTAAATAATTTGAAAGTTTTTTAGAAAAATTAATTGAGAGAAAAATATATTACGGAAAAATGAAGTAGAAGAAAAAAAAAATGAGGTTTACTTCAGATATAAAGATCAGTTGATGAAAAAGTCCATAAATTAATTTGCATCTCTATTTTTTCTATGAAAGATAAGTGGTAGCTAAAATACAAAATTTGAATTTTTATTAAATCTTGAGAAATCTCTTAGATATTGATTTGTGATTATATATCAATTTTAATTAGTAAATAACAATCTCACTCAAACAATCAAGACAAATCAACACAACGATTTTATGTGAAAAAATCACAATTGGAGCGCCTCCAATTGTGATAAAAAAATCACAGGCAAAAGTCACAAAACAATCCACTAAGAAGACACAAAAAGAATTACACAAGTGTACTCTCAATTACGTAGCGAATCTATACTCGAATTGAACTGACCCCTATTTGCCTCTTCCATCACCGTCTTCACCTCGAAACCATCTTGCCTAACGTTGAATTCACAACGCCAATGTCAAATCCACGACGATAAGCCACTCCAAAATCCACCAAATCTTTAGGTCCCAATTCCATGGAATCCACTGAAGAACTACTCTCTCTTTTGTGAATAAAACAAAATAAAACAAACCCTTTGATATAATCTACTTAATTCATGATTAAACTCTTACAGATATCAAAGGAAACAAATAAAGAATCTCAAGAAGAAAACCCTAATACTCAAGAACAAGATTTGAAGCCATACCCTAAAATCGAACTGAAACACATATTTATAGAAAACAGATTTGCAATCTCCGCTCAAGCGCAAGAATGGCCGCTCAAGTGAAAAAAAAAAAAAAAAAAACTCCTAATACTTTTGCAGGTGAGTGAAACTTTTGAAAGGTCGCAATCACTGCTCGAGTGCAGGAATGGCCGCTCGAGCGAACAAACAATTTTGACTGCAATTTTGCCTTTTGCTTCCGGAGCGCTGCCCCTCAACCTTGCCTAGGCGCTGCCTTGAACCCGCCAAGGGTTGTTGCCCCCTAGACCCCCGCAAGCTGACCGGGCAACTCGATCCTCGACATAATCAGTGAAGTGACAAACATGGAAGAATTAACTTCTAAAGCATCTCTGCAAGGCATAATTCGGGTTGGATTCGCATTTAAAAACTCATAGCCTCACTGAAATAAAAGTTGAACAAAATTGCAACT